TTGCACTGGTGACAGTCCAGCAGAGAAAGAAGACAGTACAAGTGATGTACACTCTTTATTTATTCCCGCCCTTCAAAACGTTATTAAAGGTACAGTACAATATTATTGAATTTAAGTAGTCTGAACATATATTTCCATATCTTGCATGAATTCTGTGTTTCAGACTCATCAGCAAGTAATACTGAGATGATCAAAGATGCAGATGAAATCCAGGCTATGCATTTACACAAAGGTCCTCCTGAGTCAGTGGTTTGTAAGGACAGGATTCAAAAGTGTAAATAGATGTGTACTCTTTGCATATTGTTTTTATCTCTGCAGCCCAGATTGATATTGGATCATGGTTACCCAGTGGAAACTCATGATGTAACAACAGCTGATGGGTACATTTTGGAGATGCACAGAATTCCACATGGAATTGTTCCTGGTTCAGGGCCTGGAGAGGGTTCAAAGACTCCTATTTTGCTGGCACATGGTCTCATGTGTTCTTCAGCTATTTGGGTGTTCAGTGGTCCAAAATATGCTTTAGGTCAGTTTTTTATACTGAGAACAGTATTACAAAATCATAAACTTCAGAAACATTCCTATTTATATATCACTGAAATTAATTTTCATTAGGGTCCCTGAATATAATGACTGACTAATTTGAATTAAAATTTTGCATAAAGAAAATACGCCAAATGGCATTCCAAAAAAGATGACTTGTTCACATAATATATTTCTGGCAGCGCCATTTTTTGTACAGAAAATGCAAGCACTTCAGTTGGTTTGATTTGAACTTTCAACATTATACAAAAAAATGTAGAAGCTGTGAGTTCAAAGTTCTGAAATCCTGGCTAATGCTGGACATTAGATTATATTTACATGTGTAAAGGTCTATTATGAATATTTTTGAGTGTATACAGTACCTGTACAGTATTTGAAAATAATTACATATTTTTCATAAAAAATAAAAAATTGAACTGTATAGTAATAGTCAACCTGGTGGAATTAATTTGATGCATCACGCAGAGACCCATTTTATAAACAGATTAGCTAACTTTGCAGTAAAAAATCTTATTCTCATGATTTTGTTGATACAATTATGTATTTTATGTTTCAGCTTATATGCTGGCTGATGCTGGCTTTGATGTCTGGCTGGGGAATGTCAGAGGCAACACATACTCTGCAAGGCATACTAAGCTCTCAACTGATGAAACTGCATTTTGGGAGTTTGGGTGAGCAGCATGAACACAAAATCACTGCACAGACAAAAAAAAAAAAAAGAAAATTATGTTGGGCTTCACAGGATTGATGAACATGGATATTTTGATGCTCCTGCACAAATAGACCACATCACTGCCACAACTGGAGCCCAAAAAATGTTCTATGTTGGATATTCCATGGGAGCAACCATGTTCTACATAATGAGTGACATGAGACCAGAGTACAGAGAGAGATTCATTGCCATGTTTGCTCTTGCTCCTGCAGCCCAAATGAGTCACACCACAAGCATATTCAAGCGCATTGCTGACTACTATGACTTCATAGATGTAAGTCAAATATTCCACCGGGTCCCTGTATAGAATTTCTATAGCCAGGCTTTTAACAAATTTGCTGAACAACTGCCAGTGTGGTAGTAACTCATTTAAAAATAAAGAGAGTTTTTTTTTACTAAACATACTTCAGAAATTCAGCAGCCAATATAATTAAAGTCAATTTTTTTTTATTTTGATATGACTTGGGTTGGTTCTTTGCATTATTTTTCACAATTTCCCAATCATTTATAAAAGTTTACTGAAATGAAAAAAAGTTTTATGAGACATCATTTATTGTGATGCCTTGGACATTGGCAATATCTATACTATGTTGCCTCATTTGATTCATTGGAAATATTTTCACAATTATGTAAGTGTTCCAGGACTTTAATACAGTAACTAAGTTTTCTAAAATTTAAAATTATTTCATCCAGCTAACTCCTCCCACAAATATAGTAAACTGTGCTAGAATTAATGCTACACTCTGGTCTGTGCCTATTCAGCATCCTAAATTGAGGAGTGTGAGACAGATTCATCTAAAAATTATTTGAAACAATTATGTACCCCAGAACAAATAAGTTTAAAATTTTAATGTACAGAAACGTTTTGGTAGATATTTTTAGGCTCAATTTAACTCTGGGAATGAATTAATTATTGTAAGATGAATATGGTTATTTTTAAGAATGGACTTGTTTAACAGCTTTCCTCCTCTGGAACAAATTTTGGTTGTTAAACAAGAGCTCACTATATTTTTCAGGAAAAAATTAGCAACTCATTCTTTAAATATTTGAATTCCATATGCAGGGGTTTCTAGATTTATTTGGAATCAACCGTCTGCTGCAAAATAGCTTTCCAGTGAAGCTGTTCAACTACATATTTTGCAGCCATATGACCATTGATCTCTGCAAATATGGACTTCTCATGTTGACTGGTTTTGACATCATGGATCTCAACCAGGTGCAAATAAAAAACCTTTTAAATACAAAACCAATTTATTCACTTGATTTAATTTATTTTTTAAAAATTGACAGGAGATTGATGATGAAATGGCACCCGTCTTCTTCAAGCATCTTCCAGCTGGAGCATCTCGACATTCAGTCATGCAATTCGCAGCCAGTGTAATTTCAGGAAAATTCACGAAATATGATTACGGTTCGTTCGATAATGAACACGTTTATGGGCAAGAAGAAGCACCTGAATATAAAATTGAAAAATCAACTACACCGGCGCTGATTTACTGGGCTGAAAATGATTCCCACACAGCCCCGGAGGTGAGAATAATTTTCTCCTCTTCTATATCGTGCAGAAAAATTATATATATACAATTTATATACATTTGTTTTTGCAGGATGTGGAGTGGATCAAGGAGAGATTGCCCAATGTTGTGGAATTTCGAAAGATTGACGTGGACGGTTTCAATCACCTGGACTTTGTGTGGTCAAAGAAGGCGAAAGATGCGCTTTATACACATATGCTGGACAAGGCATTAATATTGGATAGAAGGAATAAATCTGCATCATAAGAAGGAATGTCTTATAATACAGTAATGTATTTGTTATTACGCTTTGAAGGGTACATGTGAATATGTGATATCATATTGCGGGAAAAAGTCATGCTGATGCCATACAAATTACTTTGTTATGCTGTAGACTTATTCAGAGTGTAGATTATCCACTTTCGCAATGATGAAAATTAATTTTAAAAATGTACACCAGCTGCAGACGACAAGGCAAAAATGACAATGGTGTTCTCTACTTGGTATACACAATGGACACAAAGTCAGTTTTTCAAAACTTATCTTGAAAAAATGGTAAACAAATGTATATACAGTAATTCAATCTTGAAAAAATATCATAATTGTCTTCTAAAAACATCAAAACAAGTGTTTGAATGTGAAAAAATCAGGATAAAATCCAATTATTTACAAATTCTAATTTTTGTGAAAAACCTGTTATCCTTATTTCCTAAGAAATACAAGAATTGGTGAGTCTTAAATAAATTCTTACTATTACATCCAACAGCAAGTTTATTACCAACCTCAAATCCTGAGACAACAAGTCTTATCCTGGTCTTAATTAATATCTTCCACGTACTTTGTGGGCCAAAGGTTTTTTAGATAGTTCAAATAAACGTATACTCCAGGATCTCACGTATTAGAGAGGCAATAATATATTTCAGTGAGGTACACAACAGTCTGTTGCAAAAGCTTGGGCACAAATGCTGAAGAGTATAGTGTTGCATGGAAGTTTAAAGAGCTGCAGTGGTCAGCCAGCAGGTTACTCAACTCATAGGCTGATGCACAAAAAGAAATATACACAC